GAATCGAGACGCGAAAACGAGCCGAGTGTTTTTTTTTTGGAGTCTTACCTGCGCACGACAGCCGCGTTTATCCACATCTCCCCGAAGAAAAATCCCTCTTTTTAGTCCTCGAGGTATACTCCCATTTGGCTCGTCGCTTCTTCCACCAAAAAAGTCCGCGAAGACTCAAGTGACAGACCGTAATCCAGACATGTTTCTCGTTTTGTTTTGTTTTTTTTTCGTAAATAAAACCAGATCCGAGCGCGCTGTCTCCCGAGTTCCGACCGGAGGAGCGGACGCTGAGCTGCGCTGTGCCGTGAGCCGTCAGCGCGGGAGGGAAGATCGGCGAGCCGCTCTCAAACTTTGCCTCCAACAAACCGGTGCATGTTCCGTGGGGTTAGAAATGTCGCAAACGGCGGAGTTGGCGCTGCGCAGAAGAGCCATGGAGCAGTAACATTCCGCGGTGGTAAAAGATGGGAAAAAAAAAAAAAAAAAAAAAAAAGCAGCAGCAACAATCACAACAACCAAAAAAAAAAAAAAAAAAAAAAAAAGAAAGTAGTGCTCCCAAAAAAAGCGAAAAACCAGCGAGTGGGAAGCGGGTTTTGACGCGCGTAAGAAGCGAGTCCGCGCCGGTGGAGGGTCCGTCGATCCACTGAGTCGAGTCCGGGGAAGGGTGCGGGTGCAGACGGGCGACGGGAGCGCGGCGGAGCGGTCGTAGGCACCGGGCAGGTCGGGTATGCGCGGAGGAGTGGGCGGCTGATGTGCTCTCTCTCTCTCCTCTCTCTCCGCTCCTCTCTCTCTCTTCTCTCTTCTCTCTTTCTCTCTCTCCTCCTCCTCCTCCTCTTCGGCTTCTACCGCTGCTTCTTCTTCTTCTCCGCGCGCAGTGACACGCGCGCCGCTCTGACGTCACGTGAAAGCCCGATATGTCACGTGCCGGAGCGAGGGCTGTCGAAAAGAGGAGAGGAGTGAGAGGGTGAGATGAGAGGGATTAGAGGGGTGAGATGAAAGGGTGAGGTGAGAGGAGTGAGAGGGTGAGTGAGGTGAGAGAGGGTGAGATGAAAGGGTGAGATGAGAGGAGTGAGAGGGTGAGGTGAGAGGAGTGAGAGGTGAGAGGAGTGAAATGAGAGAGATGAGATGAGAGGGTGAGATGAGATGAGAGTGAGATGAGAGTGAGAGAGGGTGAGATGAGAGGGTGAGATGAGAGGAGTGAGATGAGAGAGGGTGAGATGAGAGAGTGAGATGAAGAGAGTGAGTGAGAGATGAGAGTGAGTGAGTGAGAGAGTGAGATGAGAGGAGTGAGATGAGAGAGGTGAGATGGGTGAGATGAGAGAGAGGGTGAGAGAGAGAGAGGTGAGAGGGTGAGATGAGAAGGGTGAGGTAAGAGGGTGGGATGAAAGGAGTGAGATGAGAGGGGGTGAGATGAGAGAGTAAGATGAGAGGGTGAGATGAGAAGGTGAGATGAGAGAGGGTGAGGTGAGACGAGTGAGATGAGAGGGTGAGATGAGAGAGGGTGAGATGAAAGGGGTGAGATGAGAGGAGTGAGATGAGAGGGTGAGATGAAGGGGTGAGATGAGAGGGTGAGATGAGAGGAGTGAGATGAGAGGGTGAGGTGAGAGGAGTGAGATGAGAGAGGGAGAGGTGAGATGAGAGAGGGTGAGATGAGAGGGTGAGATGAGAAGGTGAGGTGAGAAGGTGAGATGAGAGAGGGTGAGGTGAAAGGGTGAGATGAGCGGAGTGAGATGAGAGGGTGAGATGAAGGGGTGAGATGAGAGAGGGTGAGATGAGAGGTGAGATGAGAGGGTGAGATGAGAGGGTGAGGTGAGAGGGTGAGATGAGGGGGTGAGTGAAGAGGAGTGAGAGGGTGAGATGAGAGGAGTGAGATGAGAGGGTGAGATGAAGGGGTGAGATGAGAGAGGGTGAAGTGAGGGTCAGATGAGAGGGTGAGATGAGAGGGTGAGGTGAGAGGGTGAGATGAGGGAGTGAGATGAAGGGATGAGGGGGTGAGGTGAGAGGAGTGAGAGGGTGAGATGAGAGGAGTGAGATGAGAGGGTGAAGAGGAGGTGAGATGAGAGGGGTGAGATGAGAGGAGATGAGAGTGAGTGAGAGGGTGATGAGAGGGTGAGATGAGAGAGTGAGATGAGAGAGGTGAGATGAGAGGAGGTGAGAGGGTGAGAGATGAGATGAGAGGGTGAGATGAGAGGGTGAGAGGGTGAGATGAGAGGGTGAGATGAGAGAGTGAGATGAGAGAGTGAGATGAGGAGTGAGATGAGAGGGTGAGATGAGAGGGTGAGATGAGAGGGTGAGATGAAGGGTGAGATGAGAGGGTGAGGTGAGAGGAGTGAGAGGGTGAGATGAGAGGAGTGAGATGAGAAGGTGAAATGAGAGCGAGGTGAGAGGGTGAGATGAAAGAGGGTGAGATGAGAGGGGTGAGAGGGTGAGATGAGAGGGTGAGATGAGAGGATGAGATGAGAGAGTGAGATGAGAGGAGTGAGATGAGAGGATGAGATGAGAGAGTGAGATGAGAGGAGTGAGATGAGAGGGTGAGATGAAAGAGGGTGAGATGAGAGGGTGAGAGGTTGAGGTGAGAGGGGTCTGGTCTAGAGAGTGAAACTGTACATCAGGGGTGTCAAACTCATTTTGTTCCGGGCGTCGTATCCAACCGACTTTGATCCCAAAGTGTCCGGATCAGAAAACTCATGTCATATAAACCCCAAAAATAACAATAAGTTCAAATATTTGTGCAGAGAAACACAAATTTATTACAGACTTTTTTTTTTAATTGATGAACTCTTTCTTTTACAAAATATTATAATATTATGAACAACCTGAAACTTTAAGAAAAATACAATTTCAACACAATGTTTTAACATGAATTTGTTTAAAATTAACTTGTAGAAATAGGAATAAGTAAATTTTTCTTAGAAAATCCTGCACTCGGCTCCACTTTTCTCATTTTTGACATTTTTCTGATGAGGGTGTCACGGTCAACAGTCAAAACGATCGTCCTTTGGAAAGAGACAAGTCTTCATTTGTGCTGCTCTGGTGGGAGGGGCCACGTACAGAGACGCTGGAGACGCTGCTGTGATAAACACCACAGAAAATTAACAATATTTTAATAAAAAAATAATAAAAATATTTGAGTAGAAAATCAGCCGAGGGCCAGATTAAAGGTCTTGGAGGGCCGGATCTGGCCCCCGGGCCGCATGTTTGACACCTGTGCTGTACATGGACCATATTGGACAAATGAGGCTTTAGTGCTGCAGTGTTTTATGGAATAAAACAGGTAATGCAATAAAACTCATTCCAGTGATGATGTAACAAAGAAAACTGTATTTTCTACAACACTACAGTTTTGAAATGCACTGAGTAAAAGTGTTTTGTTTTTTGATTAAGTGAAGAGCTGCTTTTATCTTTCATTCAGTAGAGACTGGAAACTGCAGAGCTGAAATGATCCGGATGATTCTGATGAAGGTGTGTGGAGTTTAAAAACAGAAGAGAGCTTGAAAGAAGAGCTAAAAAGTCTAAGGTACCACTCACACTAGTGTGTATTGGAGTTGTTTTTGTTGTGGATGCAGTGTTCACATTAATCTGATTGAAAACGGCTCCAGAGACGGAACGATCTGGTGCCTCCAGCTCCCACGAATTCATGTTCGTACAGATCTGATCCTTGATGTGTGGACGTCTGAAAACACTGATCCTCTGATGTAGGAGCTCGAGTCTCGTCCTTATTGGACCACGTCACTGTGACTCGCTCCTTCCTGATTCTCTGGGTTCGTGACATCGGTCATGTGACGCTGTTGTGGAAAACAGTTTAAACCAGTGGTCTCCAGACATTTTTCTCTGGTGAAATACTTAAACAAATAAATAAACTAAAATGCCAGAGAGTTGCTCATTTTAGTGACCACAACAAAAAGACGATTATCAGAAAGAGGACGAGCCTTGGGTACAGACACACAGAAACAAAAAACATGTCCATTTATTAGTGCACAAAGTTGGGCTTCAAAATGACACATTTACAAAGGTAATAGGCATTTAATTAATCACATTTTTGTTAAATGGTCACACTTTTCTATAGCTCTTTTCCACCTTCAAGGCTCAAAGCGCTTTTACAACAAGGAACCACTCACACATTCACACACCAGTGTACGCAGACACTGGGCGAGGTGGGTTAAGTGTCTTGTCCAAGGACACAACGACAGAGAGTGAACATGTGGATACAACATGTAGGTTTAGATGCCTGAATGATCTTTATACACTATGTTATTTCATTTCACACTTATGGAAAGTTTTTCAAGCAAAAAGTGACCTTCACAATAAATTTGACATGGAAATTGCCCTTAAATAGGAAGAAAGTGTTAAAATCACATTCCTTTTATCAAGTCAAGTAGAAAAACTGTCATTATACAACAGTTTAAGACAAAAGGAAGGTGGAATACAACCTTTTCTATTTTCGCCGGGGGCATTGTGAATTTTATGTACACTGGCCACTAGGGGGCGCCCCAACTTTTATCCATGGACTTTTCCAAATTTTCCTCCCAACTATGTGTGACACACAGTAATGTGTTTTCACATTATGTTTAATTTTTGTATACATTGGTAGTAAGTTATTACTTAAATTGCCTCCAAATTAGCAATTTAAGTAATAACTTTATTTAAGCTGTAATTACACCCTCACGCTAGTAGGTGGCGCATGACTCCTCGAGACGGTATTGTGAAGTCAGATGTAACCCGCATTTGAGACTTTTATTGTTGCGGGTCAATTCCGTTTCACCCCGATCTCCCCCACTTCCTTTAAGCTGCGGGGTCACGTGTCACTTCCTCCTCCTCCGCTGGGGTCTGGGGTCTGGGCGTTGGCAAACAATTTCAATGAACGTTTAAACTACGAATCGTGCCACATGCACAATTCGGTGAGTGTTTTGCCACATTATTAGAATGCTGCCGATTTAATAGTCACGTTCAACAATTTCGCTAAACTATTTAATTCTGTACAAATTGCTAATGCCACGTCTCCGATCCTCATAGAGCCTCCATATAGACTGTACACACCTGTCCGTGTGTGGAGAGGAGATCGCAACGCGAAATTCGAAGGTATCTGATTTTCCTTTTGTACTAATAAGAAGCCGAAATGAAGGTAAAAGATTGCTTCATGTAGTCGCTAACTTTGTTTTTCGCGACCTTGATTAATTTGTGCAGTTTTAGCACAGTTACTAGTAATTTTAAAAACTCCGGTGGAGTTCGTCATTTGAATTGAGCGTAGCTACGCACTTTACTTTGAACCATATTGATATTGCGCAATATTTGAATTTATCGGCCTCTGCTTGGGCACTGTTTGGTAATTCTTTGATTTAAGTGCACCTAATTATGATCAACTTACTTAATTATGATCAACTTACTTAATTATTTTACTTATTGACTTAATAATGATTAACTTAATACTGATTTATTTACTTAATTGTGATAAACTTACTGAATTTACTTTACTTATTGAATTTACTTGATTTATTAACTAACTTAATTAATCATTTAATTTAATGTAATTTAATGATTTAAATGATAACCTTAATGACTTATTTAATTGATATTAATTTTTTCCACTTATTGATATTGAATTCATTCATGAATTGAATATTAATTATAATTGTAATTGTTGAAAACGTTAATCTTTATGGACTTTTTGGGTCATTAGTCAATGACTACATTTAATTTATTTATTTATTGTTATTGTGTATTCTGATAACTGAATTAATATTTTGAATGTATTGATTCACTTGTGCTTGTATGCATACATTTAATTTATTTTTGGTTATTTAAGACCTGTTAATGTTTTATTTAAATGATATTCATTTGTTTTTTTGGCCTTTTTAGGTCAGGTTTTTTCTATGGACTGATTGAACTCCAGCTTTGCAGAAACTCTCAACTCCACTAGGAAATGAACGATGGCGAGTTTACCCAAAAACCTGAACTTAAATTAACCTGAATCAAATAACTGGACTGTGTTTTTTTTGTTTTGTTTTGTTATTCCTGTGCCCTGTGAAAATTTATTTTCAATATACTTCACCCAACTTCATATTCATGTCCCATGTCTCTTCATTCACACTCAGCTCCTCAAAGAACATCCTTCTGATGCTGCTTGTGTGGCCGCAGTCTGCCCCCAGCCCCAACACAACTGCGTTACAGAGGTCCTCCTCTCCAATATGGCAGAAGCGATTCAAAGAGAAACTGCACGATTGCCTGTCTCATAATTTCCTTGTGTTTTACAGGTCAGTATCAAAGTAAAAACCACATAATATTGGTCGTAAACAATAAGTAACAAACAGAGCCAGTCGTGAGTGTATAAATCAGTTGCTAAATACTGTATTTCTGTTAAGTTTAAGCCATGTAAAAAGACGTGTGAAGACGGGTCAAGGCGAGGCTAAGGGCGCCATTTTGAGTTTGTGACGCATTTATTTTAAGCTCCTGTTTTTCGTAACTGAGAATCTGTTAAAGTGCTCCGACATTGTTTTGATTATAAAAGTATAAAGATTTAGTTCATAAGTTCATAAGTAAAAGTTAGTCTCAAGCCAAAGCGATAAGCCAGTCAGTAGTAACGGTTACGACCAGGCAATTCATGAGGAGCCCTTAAGGTGGCGGTTATATATTAAAGGTTGTATAGAGGATTATTTTAAGGGAAGAGAAATACAGCGACAGTCCTTGTGCGCGTTCAGAATTACTGTTGAAGTTTCCTGTCTAGAAGTAATTCAGCGACCGACGCCTCAGTTTTTAGACCCTTCATCTGCTTCGGTCGCGCCATCGCTGGACGAGATCTCCAAGAATCACCTCAGTTTGGCTTTGCTCCTTTTCCTCTTCTCCTCTTCTTTCAGCGACCTCAAAAACGGACTTTCTTTTGCGGCGACCCGGTCGTGGATTCTCGTCCGCCGTCGCGACAAACTTTGTGCGAAATGCGAGGAAGCGACAGTTCGAAAAAGCCTCTAAGAACCGCTGCGTAAACCACGTAATCCCCGCGCTCCGACGAGTCAGTTATACTAGGGAGTTTGATTGACAACCTAACAGCCAATAGAAAATGAGGGAGCCTCGTTTTCTATTGGCTGATGTTTATCTGGCCTCAACACGTCCACAGTTGATAGATTTTCGTTTTTTTTTTTTTGGTCATCATAATTACAAAGCTGCTGCGTCTCTGTAATGATATTTTAATCTTTCACTGACAGTTTGAAACTAAAAAAAATCCTCCATACAACCTTTAAAAACAGTATGTTCAAAGCAGACCAGCTGTGGTTGTAGAAATTGAAGTGTGTTTTAGTTAAAATGTAAAAATTAAATAGAAAATGTGTAACAATGTTAGAGAAGAAGTACGTAATGGGAATGTTTGCTGTACATTTTCTTAAAGCATGATTTTGATGTGTTCTCTATATAATTTTATTACATGATTGTAAATTGTAAACAGTGGGAAAACTGAATATTGAAATGAAAATACATGATTGTATAAATAAATATGGCAGAAGTGAGGCAAAGAGAAACTTCACGGTCGCCTGTCTCATTCTTCCTTGTGTTTTACAGGAAACATTTAACCTGGGTCTGTTACGTATGAAACAAAACAACTCCAGGTCTGTTTTTGTGATGATGAAACTACATTTATAACACACAGTAGATCAGAAAATCGAGTAATCTGGGCGTTTTAAAGCTCACAAGAGTTAATTCTGCGTAATAAAAAACCTTTAATGCCTTGTTTTCGGTGAGTATGGCCTTTTCTAGACTAATACTTCCTCTATTTAAAAAAAAAAAATGATATGAAATAAGTCCATTACACTCCAGACTTGTTCTTGGGAGTTTGGAGCTGGAGGCCCATAGTTAAAGTGTCAGAGCAGATCCGGTTTAATGGAAAAACTGTGTGTCGCTGTAATAGGTCAAAAGCTCGATTACGTCAGACCTCCAGCCTGGTCCGCTCCATCTCCTGCTCCCTTCGGCTCTGGACAAAAGTCTGGAGCTCGGCCAGAACCTCCGGCTTTACATTATGAATACATTTGGCTTTACTTTACACTCATTTGGCAAATCTCGTTCAAGTAAAATCAGCTTAAAACATGAGCCTCTTACACTATTTAAAGTTGTATTGTGTAACTTTTCCAGCGAAGGAAGCGTCGTTTTCTTGTCCGGACGTGGAGACGAGCGGGTGATGCCTTCAGGTCAGATCTGTGGAGAGGCAAGCCCGCTCACGGCTCGCACCGTTACTGCTTTGGTGTAAATTGGGGCAAGAAACAAACCCAGTATGTAACAAATGTTTGAAGTATGTACTTAATGCCGTACTGTGGAACATTCCGGGAGACGCAGTAACAACTACATGGAGATAAGCAGTGAAGTGAGCCAACATAATGCATCCACAGACTGTAAAATGGACATAAATGGACATAGAGAACATTAGGGGTGAGCCACAAGTGAAATCAGAAGTTCACATGTGGCTCTTCTGGCTGCTCCTGACTCTGGCTCCCATTGACTTACATTAGAATATTGTGGCTCTTCTCTCTGTAACTTATGGAAGCCATGAGCTGCAAGCAAAAAAAAAAAAGGCATGTCATTTGGGTGCCATTTTTTAAGTGTTTTTTCCACCAACAGCTTCCCAAAAAAATAAAAAACATATATTTTTTTGCTCCAACAACTGAAAAAAAAATTGTTTGTCTTTTTCTTTTTTGCAGTTTTTTTTTTTTTTGTTTGGGTTCGGTCTTCCAGACTTCCAACTATTGATGTGGCTGATGACTAAAGGAAAAAAAAAAAATCATTTGTGCAAGAGATTTTTTTTTTTTTTTTAGATTTTTTTCATTGGCCACATAAACAGTACAACAAAGTAAATAAGAATAAATTAATTGCTGTTTGTGCAAAAATAAATAAATAAAAACACAACAAAATTATGTACCTCATTTATTTATGTATTTATTTATGTATGTATTTTGCTTGCCATTCAGGGCTTCCGTATTATTCACCAGGATGAGTTTATAAGAGCTTTTCACAACTTTGAGAAACCAGAGTGAAGAGCTTTGCTTTGACGGTAAAGATAACAACTGGCTGGCATGCTAAAACACGCACTTCCTGATTATCGGACGTTAAAACATGTTATAATTAGATGCAGACAGAACACAGTGGACTTATTTTGACCTTCAGAGCTGCTTTTATGATATATATATATATATATATATGTTATATATTTCTGCACTGGGCCAAGACTAGAGTGACCAGATTTTCAAAATCAAAAACTGGACATTCTCAGTTTGTGGTGGTTGGTAAAAAGAAAATTGTGAACTGTGAGTGCGTAATTAAGCAAAAATGTTCTGCACTCAGCCCATTCATGACGAACATGTGAGTCAGTGTAGTCACATTTTCTTTGTGTTTTAGTCTTTTTTTTTTTTTACTTTTCATTTTCACACAAAATAAAAAGAACATAAGAATTTTCCCTGAGACAAGAGAATTCAAATATTAACTTTACAAATGAAATATACATATTCCAATCCATGTGCAGTTTATATTTTAACATATACATCCTTTGAGCACTTGAGAAGTAAGGTGTTAATAATAACCAAAATAATAACAATAAAATAAATTAATTAAAATAAAATAATTAATTAATTTTAAAAAAATTATAAAATTATACAAAAGACAATAATAATAATAATAATAATAGTAACATAAAAAAAAAAAAAAGTGTTTCTGTATTTTACCTAATAATAAAATAGATAAATTAAATAATTATTAATTATTAATTTTAGAAAATGATTAAAATATATCAAAGAAGATAATAAAATAAAATTAAAAATAATAATAATAATAATAAAAACGTGTTTGGTCATTTTTAAGCAGCTTTTCTATATTTTACCTAAACAAATGACGATTTATGTCTTTACTGTTGACTGGGATCAAATTGGTCAAAAATAGGGACATTTCTTGTATCAAACTGGGATAAATCAGTGGTTTTGTATAAATCTGCTGGGACAGGGGACACAGGGCTCAAAACTGGGACTGTCCCGGGTAAATAGTGACATCTGGATTCTCTAGACAAAACATATTTTACTCAAATTTGTGACAAAATGACTTTCTTTTTCAGCTGTGGTTCAGGAGGATCAGACGAGGAGCTGGTGAAATGTTCTCGTATTGACTTGTGTTCCGTTGAGCAGTGAGATTTAAGAGTCTGGGGTCTGAGTCTGGCTCCGCGATGCAAAAGGGGAGGGTCTCCACATGAATAAGTAATGCTGGGAGCCGTACACCGAATTTATGAGTCTATTGGGTTCAGGACAGTGGCCACTAGTTTCAAACACACTGCCGTAGTCGTATCAACATTTTTAAAGGAGACATATACGGCAAAATTAGCCTTTATGAGCTTTTAAACAAGTTATAATTGTGTTCTCTCATCTTTAGTTTACTAGAGGTTGTATTTAAAGTCGTCCAAGCATGTCCGAGTTGTTCTGTAAAGTCCAAGAAGCTAAAAAAGGGCGTCTGGTTTGTACTTTGAGTCAGAAAAAATATGTGAAATCTATTGGATCGTGTATATACTTACTTTTTGTGTTCATTAATCTGCTCGAAATAAAGAAATAAATGACAAAAAAGGGAAAATCAGGAGCCACAACAGGGAGCCAGTGAAAGAGCTTCAGTCAGTCTGTCCCAGGGCAGCTGCGGCTACAACGGACGGAACGAGACTCAATTTCTGTGAGACGAGACGCGTGTCGAGATTCAGTCCACGAGATTGAGACAAGAATTTATGTTACTAGGATCTGTTTTTGGACCAAGAGTTTGTTTTCCCGCTGACAGTTTGTTCTGCTCCCTTCGGTCTTGGAAAAATGTCGGACTTGGAGTAAATCGAGCGATGCTGACCAGACCTGAACCAGACCTGAACCAGACCGGGACTGAGACCGGGACCAGAGCGGGACCAGACCTGAACCAGACCGGGCTGAGACTGGGACTGAGACCGGGACTGAGACCGGGACTGAGACCAAGACCAGACCGGGACCAGAGCGGGCTCCAAGCCTCCGCGAGCTCGGACTACATCAGGACTAAAATCAGGACTAAATTTAGGACTACATCAGGACTACA